TATGTAATTGGCCTAAAATAAGACTAAAAGTGGGCAGAATCGCCGATGCATAAATATCATTGAAACAGCAAAATTTGCAAAAGCATAATTTCGTCAATTTTCCATCAGATTTCATACTTTTGTTTTATTACCTTCAGAAAAAGATTCTCTACCATTTCATAAGAAAAAATAGCAAAATAATTATTTGAAAATTCTTTGATGCTGTGAACAAGTTTCAGATCAGGAGTCTGGACAATGAAAGGGTTATGAGCTGTGTTATGGAAGGGAGGTGCCTCGATACCAATGAGAGGCTTTTGGCCTAAAGAATTGAGCCTATCCTTCCCTTGGATTGAACCTGATTGCCTCCCATTTCCCTGGTACTGTAAAACTTTAAGGTTTAGGGTTTCCCACTGATTATTATTATAATAATCATTAACAGCATATCTCTAGGGTTTTATAGCTGTTGCAAACAGTGTGGTTTGTGAGTACAATATGTTGTCATAATGGGCACGGCCTTTGTATGTGGATTTCTACACATTGGACTTTCACACTGATTGAATGCAGTTTTTTAGACAATAACGAATGTTCTGCTTTTCACTGATATAAAATTTCTTCATTCAAAAACGAAGTATAACAATTATGAAATCTATTGCTGTTTGCTATAGGCATCAGTTTTGGTGGCACTCTGTGACCACTAAAGTCCAACTAAAATGGTTTCCCTTAATCCCTTCATAACTGTTATCTTGCATACACTTCACTTGCCTCCACTTGCTCCTATCAAACATGCTCACTCATGTCTGTTGGCTATCCAATCTCCTAGCACTTAGTCTCCTTTACCCACTCTTTCCAACCTTTTCTAGGCTGAGCCCTATCCCTCTTCTCTACTCGAGATTTATACACCCTTCTAGCCGTCCTGGTTTTCTCCATCTTCTAAATGTCCTAACTGCTTCAGCAGCCCCTCCTCATCACTCTGAATAATACTTTTGGTAACTCCACACCTAATCTCCAAAATCTGAATTCTCTGCATTGGCCAAGGAGGTATGTATATCACCCTTAGGAATGAGGAAGAGCCAGATATGAGTGGTTGGATGGTGCATGAGGCTGTGTGAAAAATGAAAGGGGGTAAAGTAGCTGGGATTGATGGCATCACAACAGAAATGTTAAAAGCAGGTTGGGATGTAGTTTTGGAGTAGTTGGTGTTTTATTCAGTAAATGTATGATAGAGGGGAAGGTACCTAGGGATTGGGAGAGAGTATGCATAGTTCCTTTGTATAAAGGCAAAGGGGACAAAAGAGTGCAAGAAATACAGGGAAATAAGCCTGTTGAGTACACCTGGTAAGGTGTATGGTAGAGTTATGATTGACAAAATTAAAGATAAAAATAAATAGGCACAGTAACTGAAATGTCGACATAAGTTTGTCTCCTGTGTGCTGGTTATTTGTGAATTAACCCTTTAGGGTTTGTAGCTGAGTGAGCTCAGCTCACTCAGATAAGCTGCGAGTGGTAAATTTTTTGCCTAGATGAGAGAATGAGTGTGGTAAGCATGCACCATATAAAAAAAAAATCCAGTCCCATGCAGTGCATAATGAAGGGAAAAAAAAAAAACTGACCATATTGTTGGTGTAAAATAGTGACTTTGCAGTGTATTTTCACAGGGTTTTTATTATTATATTCTTGGTTTCTTGGACTCGTTTGATAGAATGGAAGATATATTACAGAAATAAAGATTTTGATTGGTTCAAAGTAGCGAAAATGTTAAATTTTTGCCGCTATTCCAGAGTACGTAAATTGTCACTCGTCCAGTACTTGTCCATTTGGTCAGTCAAATACACATTCAGTTGTACGCTGATGTTATTTATACAATTATTACAGTATTTCAATAGTCGGCATAACAGTGTGAATAAAAACTCAAAATGAAAAGAAGGCATGTTATAGGAGAGGCCTGGGGACTTAACTAATGAACAGAGGAAGTGTTTTTTTTTAGTGCCTGGAAATGTCTACATTGTTTATTCTAGTACCTATTTATAAATTGGAAATTTTTTATTTTGTGTGAAATTAGCAAAATTACCAATTTCTGATCACACTATTGGGTAGTTGAAATAGGTAAATGGGCTGTTTTTTGTACTCGATAGATAGAATGGAAGGAATACTAGCGAAATAGCTATGAATTCCGTCAACTGGAACAATGGAATTGGCCTAAAATATGACTATATTGATGCATTGGTGAAATCGCCAATGCATCAATATCACCAAGAATGCTAACTTCGCAAGAGCACAATTCTATGAGTTTTTTCCATCAAGTTATATAATTTTGGTTTCATTACCTTCAGAAGATATCATTTCATAAGAATTTTTCCCCGACCCTGAGAACAGTTCTCAGATCAGAAGACCCAAACCTCATAAGGCTAAGGGTAAGATGGAGCTCATGCAAGGGAATAGTACTTAGATAAGGATAAGAAAGTTTTTGTTGCATATATGAATTTGGGAAAGGTATATCATAGGGTAGATAGGGGAGCAGTGGCAAATGTTGCAAGTGTATGGAATAGGTGGTAGTTTACTGAAAGCAGTTTCCTCAATCCATGCATCACTTCTACATTGTAAAAGCTTTTCATAAGTCAACTTTTTCTCCCTTATCATTTCACCGATTGCTTCTTTTCCCTCCTGCACCCACCCTCCTATATCCACAAACTTCTGCACACACTAACACTGCATTCTTAATCTACCCCATACCACTTCTACCCCCTCCTTGTTACCTACATTCTTTACCCCACCTTTCTCCCAAAAGTTTCTTGTATCTTACCTTAACTATTCTAATTAATAAACTTTCGCTTCTCTCTTACCCACGGATGACTTTCTCTTTGTACCCCATCTACCTCTCACTAGCTACCACTAAATAATGATCTGATTTGTTGCCCCTCTAAAAACATGGACATCCAGAAGTTCACACATCAGCCTTTTAATGGACAATGTGCTGGTGGAGTGTAATCATGGTAACATGAAGGAATTTAAGTGGGAAGGAGAGGGCCTTCACTTTGAGGGAGGGATGGGGATGATGATTTTGGCACACTTCTGGCAAGACAGGGATCGAATGAGTGATGGTAAATGTAATTCCCTCTTTGGGTCACCCTGCCTTGGCAGATGATGTCCATTGTTTTAAAAAAAATATGGGTCATCAAAACAAATTATATATTTTTTTTTCAATTAGGTTATATCAAGCAGTTCAGTTTCTGATCAGTGAGGTCTTGTACATAGTCAGATTTATTTCACTATTATGAGTCAGACATTATTTAAGAAAGAAATGAATAGGTAAATTGCTTTCATAATTTTAAGATTTCAAGGGATCTTTTAATAAAAATAGAGTTCCCCATCGAAGATTAAACTGGAAACTACAATACATAGGAGGAATAAAAGGCAATGAATTAGAGATTCTCTTTTATGGAAAGATGTGAATAAGTGGATGGAAAAAATTTATCATGGGAGAAAGTGTACAGTGGGGTACCTCAAGAATAAGCACTAGCCCCTGAACATGTACTATCTTACTTGTATAATTAACTTGAAGAGTGGAACAAAAATAATCATGTTTGTGTAGGGATCCTGTGCAAAATAAGCAGTAAGTTCCACAAATCAATACAAAAACAAAAAAATTTGGAAAATAGTGATGAATAGTTGGTGGAAGTTTATGTAGACCAGTTCCATGGGTCATCTTTTCTAGGTGATAGGTAACCTATGCAATAAAAGTTCTGTACAGTCCAAAAGAGAGAGGATGACAGTTATGTGATAGTAGTATTAGTAGTATAATCATAACTATGCACTAAACCCACAAGGGTCATACAGCACTGCAGGGTAGGGTACGCAAAAGGTTTAATACACTTGATCAGATACTAGCGAGGGTGGAGAGAATAACACAGGTAGAGTTAGCAAGGGTGGTGAGAAAGGTGTGTGATAAAATAGTAAGGTGTCAAACTTCTGCACTACTTACATTCATTATGCATTTTGCTTGACTTTCTTGTGTCCAAATAGTTCTTACCTGTACGTAGTTTACTTTCCAGTTTAAGAAATATTGTCTGAAATTCTCTTAAACACAACAAAAATACCACCAGTTGCAAGTAGCAGTGAAGCAAGTCTGCTATTCATTTGTTTTAGATGTATGGTATTTTAATCTTTTTATTACTAATATTTTGACTAGTCACATGAGATGTAGGGCAATTATTTAACTGCATTTTGTCTTGTACTATGACAAAATAAGCAGTGCTCAATCTTTCATTATCTTTAATAGTACACCTACCATCTGACTTACGACCTGCTCGTTAATTTCTGGGAAATAAACAACTGTTTGTGTTGTACACAGTGTTTATCATAACCCTTACAATATAAAATACAGTACTAACAGCATAAAAAGTAAAGTAAAAAATGAAATACCAAAATAAAACAATAAAATAAAGTCATTACAAAAATGTGATGTTGATATTCAGTAGTAAGGTTCGACTTGCGTCCATTTCGACTTACGACCAGTTTCTTGGAACCGAACTCGGTCATATGTCAGATGGTACCTGTATTTCTTGCTCTCTTGCAAAATAATATTCCATGCAATGGTAATCTAGTTAATTTAATTAGGCATACCTCTTTAATACGGCACTCGCTTTAGAGCGTGTTGCTAATTTGGCACTTTTCAATTATTTTCATGTTTATTGTTTTTGGCAGTGATGCTCACATCAGCTGACTCCAAGCTGAATCAAGCATTTTTTTTTTTTTTTTTCCTTTGGAATCTTTTATTTATTACTTTTACTTCTTGCATATTTTACTTTTGTTTCTTAATAAATGATAGTGTAAATATGTTTTTATACTATTGTATATACTAGCAAGTGAAAAACAAAGCTTGTAATTTGCTTTATGGCAGTGGTCTGGAAAATAACCTGCCGTATTGGTGAGGTATGCCTAAATCTTATTTGTACAGTGCACTATATCCATTTGTATTGCTCTTTTGTAACATAGAAATAATGTTTTTCCTTCTGATGTAACAGGTGTCTTCAACCAGGCAGCTCAGTCAGGTTTGTTGGTGTTGACTTTGACTTGTGAATTCCCTTTTAATTTGTTGCTTGTGATTTGGGCCACCAGTGTACCACTTCTTTTAAAGATACTTTGTGTTGGGACACTGGTAAACCTTTTTTTTTTTTTTTTTTTTTTTTTTTTTTTTTTTTTTTTTTTTTTTTTTTTTTGCAGTTTCTTAGTACAGAATTAATATTTTTCATATATTTATTAGTTTCAAATATGTTGAATCATAACTTTAATTTAGGATGGCATAAATGTAAAGGAAAATATGGCACACTGAGGATCTTGTGTCTAGCATACAGGTGAGGCCATTGTATTTTTTGAGGGAAGCTTAGTTTCTTTAATGTAAACTTTTTAGTAGCCTCCCATCATACATAAGGAGAATTACCAATAGACCCCTGGCTATCTTCTAGAGGGAATTGGACAGATACCTACAGTCAGTGCCCAATCAGCCAGGCTATGGTTTGTACATTGGATTGTGTGCTGCCAGCAGTAACAGCTTGGTTCATAAAGCCTTGATCCACTTGGGGGCCTGGTCGATGACTGGGCTGTGGGTGCATTGACCCCCAGAACAACCTTCAGGTTGACTCTGACACTGTCAGTTCCCAGTGTATACACGGCCATTATACTTAGTCGAGTGTTAGCTATTTTTTTAAGGTGCCAAGAAGAATAAGCATCAGTCGTTGCTCCTTTTTTTTTTTTAAAGCTTCAAGGTGGTGCACTGTAATGGAGATGGCATGAACCTTTGGGCTCAGTGAAGCATAAATTCATAAGATTAAAAGTAAAGTAGGCCTTAGACAGGGATGTGTGATGTCACCATGGTTGTTCAGTATATTTAGAGATGGAGTTGTAAGAGAAGTGAATGCTCAGGTGTTGGCAAGAGGTGTAGGGTTAAAAGGTAAAGAATCTAAAAAAGTGGGAGTTGTCATAGTTGCTCTTTGCTGATGACACTGCTTTTGGGGGATTCTGAAGAGAAGTTGCAGAGATTGGTTGATGAGTTTGGTAGGGTATGTAAAAGGGAATTAAAAGTGAATATAGGAAAGAGTAAGATGATGATAAAAAAAATTAGGTAACGGAAGATTGGATACCAGATTGGAGGGAGAGAGTATAGAGGAGGTGAATGTGTTCCGATATTTGGGAATGGATGTGTCAGCAGATGGGTCTATGAAGGATGAGGTGAATCATAGAATTAACGAGGGGAAAAAGGTGAGTGGTGCACTGAGAAGTCTGTGGAGACACGGAACTTTATCCATAAAAGCAAAGAGAGGAATGTATGAGAGTATAGTTATACTAATGCTCTTGTATGGGTGTGAGGCATGTGTTGTGAATGTTACAACAAGGAGAAGGCTGGAGGCAGTGGAGATGTCAGGTCTGAGGGCAGTGTGTGGTATGAACATAATGCAGGGAGTCTGTAGTTTGGAGATTAGGAGGAGGTGTGAGATTACCAAAACTATTATCCAGAGGGCTGAGGAGGGGGTTATTGAGATGGTTTGGACATGTAGAGGGGATGGAACGAAATAGAATGACTTCGAGTGTGTATAAATCTGTAGTGGAGGGAGGGCTGGGTAGGGGTTGGCCTAGGAAAGGTTGGAGAGAGGGGGTAAAGGTTTTGTGTGCAAGGGGCTTGGACTTCCAGCAAGCATGCATGAGCATGTTAGACAGGAGTGAATGGAGACAAATAGTTTTTAGGGCTTGACGTACTGGAATGTAAGCAAGGTAACACTTACGAAGGGATTCAGGGAAACTGGCAGGCCGGACTTGATTCCTGGAGATGGGAAGTACAGTACCGGCACTCTGTAGGAGGGGTGTTAATGTTGCAGTTTTATAACTGTAGTGTAAGCATGCCTCTGGCAAGACAGTGGAGTGAATGATGAAAGTTTTTCTTTTTCGGGCCACCCTGCCTTGGTGGGAAACAGTCAATGTGTTAATTAAAAAATAATAGTAAAAGGAGTGAGGAGAAAATATGAGCAAGCTTAGTTTAATATGTTTATTATGCACCCCATACCCATCCTGTGGGCAGTAGTCAAAAGATTACAGAGGTACATAATTGGTCCAGGGACTGGACTCCAAAGTTTTGATAGCTGAGCAATTTACAAAGGTAATGAACTCACAATTTACAAAGGTAATGAACTCCAGGTAGGTCTAGTCACAATCATGACAAATTACAAAGGTATTTACAGATTACAGAGGTACGTAATGGGTCCAGGGGCTGGGCCCCCAAAGTTTTGATAGATGAACTAGGTACAAAGGTAATGAATCCTGTAAGAATGGTTACTTACATTTATACATGGGTACAATCATGAACAAATTACAGTAATGAGCAATTCACACTTCCACACCCGGTCACAACTGTAATGAGTTATTGGTGCAAATATTGATTGTCACAACACACACACACACACACACACACAAACTCTCACACACACACACACACACACACACACACACACACACACACACACACACACACACACACACACACACAACCACACACACAACCACACACACACACACAACCCACACACACACACACAACCACACACACACACACACAACCCACACACACACACACACAACCACACACACACACCACACACACACACAACCACACCACACAAAACCACACACACACCACACACACCACACACACACCCCACACACACACACACACCACACACACACCACACACACACACACCCCACACACACACACCCACACACACCCCCACACACACACACCCACACACACACCCCACAACACACCCACACACACACCACACACACACACCACACACACACACCCACACCACACCCACACACACACACCCCCACACACCCACCCCACACACACACACACCACACCCACACACACACCCACACACACACCACCACACCCCACACACACACACACCCCACAACACCAACACACACACACACCCACACACACACACACCCCACACACACACACACACACACACACACACCACACACACACCACCACCCACCCACACCACACACACACACACCACACACACACACACCCACACAACACACACACCACACACACACACACCACCCACACACACACACCACCCACACACACACACCACCCACACACACACCACACACACACCACCACACACACCACCACACCACACCACCCACACACCCACCCACACACACCACCACACACCCACACCACCCCCACACCACACCACCCACCACACACACCCACCACACAACCACACCCCACACACACCCACACCCACACACCACACCACACACACCCACACACCACAACCACACACACACACCCACACACACCCACACACACACCCCACACACAACACCACACACACACACACACACACCACCACCACCACACACCCCACACACAACACACACCACCCACACACACACACACCCACACACACACCAACACACACACACACCACAACCAAAACCCAACACCCACACACACACACACACACACACACACACACACACCACACACACACACACCACCACACACACAACACCCCACAACACACACACCCACACCAACAACACACCCACACACACCACACACCACACACACACACACACACCCACACACACCCACCACACACCACACACACACCACACACACCCACACACACACCACACACACCACACACCACACACACACACCACACACACACCCCACACACACACACCACACACACACACACACCCACACCACACACACCCACAACACACACCCACCACACACACACACCACACACACCACACACACACAACACACACACACAAACACACACACAAACACAACACACACAACCCCACACAACACAACACAAACACACACACACACACACACACACAACACACACACACAACACAAAACACACACACACAAAACACCACACACACACACACACACACACCACACACACACACACACACACACACACACCACACACACACCAACACACACACACACACACCACACCACACACACACACCACACCACACACCACACACACACACACACACACACACACACCACACACACACACAAAACCACCACACCACCCCACACCACACACACACCACACACACACCCCACAACACACACACAACCACACACCAACACACCACACACACACCCACACACACACACACCACACACACACACACCACAACACACACACACCACACACACACACCACACACACACCACACACACCACACACACACACACACGTGATAATGCTTTACAGCTAGCAAAGTCAGGGTATTTCTCCAGAATGGTCTGTAATATACCACTGTGGATAAAATACTTTGCCATTTCTTGAACATTTCTGAGTGAGTTGTCTCTAAATTCATTAATTTTATCGCACTCCAGTACATAATGACGCAGGGTGTGACAATAGTCCATCTGGCAAAGTTTACATTTAGTTTGGTCTACATCTGGTGGTGGTGATTTAACCTGCCAAAGATACTTGTAACCCAGCCGGAGCCGGGCGGTAGTGACATCCAAGAGTCGGCTTATCTTGTTGGATGCACAATAGACATGTGGCTCCTCCTGCATGATATAAATAACCCAGGTAGTGACCTGAAGAGAACGTTACATAGGTCACAACAGCTAAATAAAAAAAAATTAACGAGTGGATTGAGCAGAAAATCGAGATAGGTACACCACATAATTTCCTCATATTCAGGGAGAAAGCTCTTTATACTATAAAAGTGTGTGGTGATAAAGGAAAGCCTGAACATGCGTGTTTAGTGCTGGGTTATTTCATAATTATAAATTGCACAATCTACCGCATAATAAATGTAGTGGTGAGAGCTGCTGCCAGGAATTTTCCTGCAAGACTTTCCATGCTTTAACCCTTTCAGGGTTTGTGCTGTACTAGTACGGGTTGCACGCCAGGATTGGTACTGTACTGGTACGCATAAATTCTAGCGCCTTCAGATGTAGCTAGAGAAGGTGGGCC